GAAATTTTGTAAGTGGTGACTTGTTGGGAAAATAGGGAATTAAGCCCAAATTTGAGTCAGGGCAAACTTTTACTTTTTTCAGAATGATGTTTTTGTTGAAAAAACAATTCTAGTGATGGAATTGTCAAAGGTTGTACTATTGACAATAATATCAATAAAATTACAAATTTGAATCATATTATTGAGTCTATTTCTTTATGACATGTTGAATATTTTACTTTAACAAGAATGATTTCATGTGAAATCATAGAACATAATAAATGTAAATTATGTGGTAAGTCTAAAATGATTAAGAAACATTTTCATAGTGTTGAAAAGACATCTAATTTATTAGATTTACTTCATTCCAACATATGTTAACAGATACTTCATAATATTCATAGATGATTATTCTCTCTCTATATATATAAAGTCAAAGTAAAGAATCAATTAAGTAGAAGTGATAGGGGAGGTGAATACTTCTCTAGTGAATTTAATCTTTTTTGTGAACTATATGGCAGTGATAGGGGAGGTAAATATTTCTTTAGTGAATTTAATCTTTTTTGTGAACTATATGGCATAATACATCAATGTAGCATACCTAGAATACTCAACCAAAAATGTTTGACTCAGAAAAAGATTAGGAAACTAGTTAAAATGATAAATGCTATGTTATTAAGTGCTAAGTTTACAACTAACATATTGGGTGAAACTTTATTAAGTGCCTGTCACATGGTTAATATGATTCCTTCTAAACAATTTAATTAAGATTTCTTCCTATGAATTGTGGAAATGTAAAAAATCAAATATTGATTATTTCAAATTGTGGAGGGTGTCTTGCTTATTGTAATAACACAGATCCTAAAAAGACCAAATTGAGTCTTAGTGGGATCAAATATACTTTGTAGGATATGCCCAGAACAACAAGGCATACCGTTTATTAAACTTGAAAATCGATTTGAATCCTGAGAAGTAGAGTTCTTTGATAATTTACTATCTTCAAATAATAATTCTTTGAGAGAACTTCAAGTGAGGATTCCTAACTCTACAAGATCACAAGTAGAAGCACTCTTTCGAGAATGTTGAAATAAGTGAACTTTTCCAGAGGTAAAAGAGCTTGAAAAGGGATAGTGTTAGGACCCGATGAATTTGATTTTCAACCTATTTTCTTCTATTTAGTTGAGGGAAATGAGAAGAGTGTCACAAAAATTGCTACATATATTCTTTAAGTGGAAATTGATCCTAAAATTTATCAAGAAGCAACGTCATTTAGATATAGTATTTCTTGAAAAGATGTTACAAATGATGAAATTAATTTAATAATGTCAAACGAAACTTGGATATTAGTCGATTTAACACTTGGATAAAACCTATCGACTATAAATGGGTATTTAGAAGGAAGTAGGAAGTAGACAGTGCTCTTCATACCTTTAAAACTAGGTTGGTGACCAAAAGTATCAATAAAAAGAAGGAATAGATTACTTTTACACGTGTGCTCTAGTTGGATAAATAACATCTATTAAGATTTTATTTGCCAAAGCTTCTATCTATGATTTGTATATACATCAAATAGATGTTAAAGCGACATTCTTAATGAGGATTTGGATGAGGAGGTTTATATGAAATAACCGCACGATTTTATTCTATCTGGAAATGAGGATAAAATTTGCAAGTTAATAAAATCCTTATATAGATTAAAACAAGCATTAAATAAATGGCACAAAAAGTTTAACTTAACAATAATGTCTTTTGAATTTAAACACATCAGTATTGATAAATGTTTGTGTTCAAAAATCTGTAATAATCATGTTGTGATTATTTGTTTATACGTGGACGATATATTGATTGTGTGCAATTAAATGTTCACATTCAAAATAAAAGATCTTGGTCAAATGGATATTATACTAGGTATCAAAACTAAGACTAGTCCCAATCACATTATGTTGAAAATGTGGTTAATAAGTTGATCACTTGAACATTAAAGAGGCTACCACTCCTTTCGATTTAAGTTTAGAACTTGTAAAGAATGATGGAAGAGCTATAACACAACTTGAGTATGCAAATGCTATCGATAATGTTTGGATATCTAGTAATGGTGAGAATAAATCAACATCAGTTATGTAGTACAAAGTTCATGATGCAGAATGCATTTGATTTATTGGTTTCTCTTGGATATTTACCCTTGGAGGAAGTGCAATTTCTTAAAAATCCAAGAAAGAAACTTATATTACTCACTCAACTATGGAATCCAAATTTGTGGCATTAACCGAAGTCAAAAAAGAAGCTGAATGATTTTTTGGGAGAAATAAGTAGTTCTTCAATATTTATCTTATGTGATAATCAAGCTACTATAGCTAAATTAAATAATGAAGTTTACATGAAGAAATTAATCAAAGTTGGAATAATGTCACTCACTTATGTGAAGTCAAATGGAAATTTGGCTGATCTATTAACTAAATCGCGCATAAGGGAATTGGTACGAACTACAACAAGTATGATGGGTTAAAACTCTGTAATTAAATCCATGAATGATTTCTAGTTTTGATTTGGGTGGTGTAGGATTTGATTTCTAGATTTGATAGAGATAAATTTGATTTTTTGTTTTAGATTGATGGTGGTGGGCGTGGGCGATGATTTTTCTTTAAATGATTTTTGAGTGAGGGAATGAGTTTTTTTTGTTTGATTTTCAAACGTGCAGTGGGCTGGAAGGTAGCGATCATGACTAGGAGTTGTCGCGACGGTATGGGTCAAAGGTAGTGTTGTGACGGTTTCTGGTAAGGTCTTGTTGGAGAAGCAGAGTTGCTCTATTTTGATTTGGGAAGGCTGGGTTGGGGTAGGTGCATTTATATGTTTATTTTTATTTTTTGGTTTTTTAATTTAATCTTTTAACAAGGACAAATGAAGTAAATAGCAAAATTACTTTTTAATCCTTTGAAAATTTGGTCAAAATCAACTTTTTTGATCAACTAACGATCAAATGGATGAAAACTGTCCATTTGGATTTCAGATGCTTATTTTTGAAAAATTAGGACTGTAGGTGGTATAAAGTGAAAGTTAGGATAAAGTTTGCAAAAAAAAGAAAAAAGAAAAAATGATGAAGTTAGCAACCGCTGGTACAATTTTCTCAAATTCTAATTAATCTAGCCGTTCACTCCGTAAAGAGAAAGAAATAGATTTTGATCTCTCTATTTATTATTTATTATTTATTTTTATTTTTGTTTTTTTGGTTTTGTTTCACAAACTTTTGATTTTTGATTTGTCTTTGAAGTGTCCACTCACCAATTGCAATTCATATTTTTAGAAAAATCAAGAAACATACGAGGGTTGAAAGTTTGAAGACTAACGATCAAGATTCAAGAACATGATTGAAGCAATTGTTGTCTAGTTCAAAATTCGAGTTCAGAAATTAGTTACACTTCAAGGGTAATTCCACAATCCTTTATTTCGCTGATTTGATTTTTATAATACAATTTTAATAATTAATAAATATATTTGGGTCAAGTATTGTTAAGCCTTTGCTTAATTAAACTTTTTTTAATATTACAAGCAGTCAACTTCGATTTAGTCGTACATTTCATTATATTCATAATTTTTATCAACTTTTTAACCACACGTTTAATATAATTGATAAATTATAATCTCAAAAAGCTTTATCAATCAAGGGCTAAGTTAAAAAAAGAAAAAGAAAAAATGTATTATCTAAATTTCTTACCTAAATTCTAACATACCTCCAAGTGGCAGCTTTCTATTTGTTGTATTGATCGTGGTGGAGCTTCCTTATCTGATGGGAATCTGAGCGTAGAATTTCTACAAGTACACGTGAAACATGAATTTCATGTTTTTGTTATTCATTCTCTTTGGATTATATGCTCTCAAAGGTTTCATAAATTAAACTAAAACTTTAAAATATAACATTATTGTAAATTAATAAGTACAGGTCCATCCTTGAAGCTTCACCTTATGATACAAAATCTTCACTTTCTAATCTCACTATGTTGTATGTTTCAGTTTGACTTTTATTTTTTTAATTTTTTTAATTTAAATTCATTTTTAATCTTAGAATTCACGATTTTATCAATTTTTTAACCATATATTTATTAATTATTATCAAAATCTACTATTTTTTTTATTAAATAAACCTAATGGAGGCTAAAGAGCGAAGATTATGCTGATTGATGATATTTATAAATTCTCTAGAAGCATCCTCTAAAGAGTAAAGATTATGCTAAATAAAGCAATATAAATTCTCTAGAAGCATCCTTCAAAGAGTAAAGATGAGGAAAAATTGCAACAACAGTCCTTAGCCTTTGAATTTTTAGCAAATATTATCATAATCTTCAATTTGTACTAGCGAAGGTCCCCAAACTTTTCAAAAATTCGCACTTAGAGTTTAAATGAATGGAAATTTTATTCAAACGCTAGTGAGATGCACGTACAGTGCAAATGCCATAGTGTAGTTGTCAACTTAATAGCGCAGATATAAAGGTGAGTTCACCTTATTAGATGAATTTCGAAATTTGTGATTTAAGAATTAATTCTTAAAGTTGACCGTTTGTTTTATTTTTAGGTGCAAATGCAAGGGATTGCCATTGGACATGCTGTGGACTTGACTACATGGATGGGTTAGGATGACCTTATTAACGAGCTGGAGAAAATGTTCGAACTTAGGCCCCGTTTGGTAGAGATTTTTTGCCCCAAAAAATTAATTTTTTGACCGTTATTTTACTATTCAAGCGGTAATTTTTGATTTCTTCTCTCACATGTGGACCACACTTTTCTTCTAACAGTCAAAAATCAATTCTCAAAATTCCTACCAAACGGACCCTTAAAAGAGAATTTCATCCTCGAAACAAATGGGAAATAGCTTACAATGATAATGAGGGGGACATGATGCTCGTGGCCGATGACTCACGACAAATTTAAACATATGTTGCTAAATGTTATGAGACAACAACATTGGAAAAACGTTGTATTCATCATAATTATAAATTAAGCATTAGCTTCATAAATTGGATAAGCTAAACTATCTAGAAGCATCCTCACCCTCCACTCACTCACTAACCACTAGTAGAACTCTCTAGAACAATACAAATCCCAATACCTACTCATTCTCCTAGTAATACTCCTTCAGCTCTCGACTCTCAACCCTGATACGATACTGCAATTAGTAATTTGCAATCTCTATTAACTCTTCGTTAATTAGTTTTCGTAAATGGACGAGGGTTTCGGGATGCCGCCACACGAAGGAATGGACGAGGGCATGGATCTGCCGGATGATGGTCCTGTTTTGAAAGTGGGAGAGGAGAAGGAAATTGGAAACCAAGGATTGAAGAAGAAGCTTGTTAAAGAAGGCGAGGGATGGGACACTCCCGAAAATGGCGATGAAGTTGAAGGTGATTGATAGTTAGTCGGATTGCTAATTAGTTATTCAATATGCTTTCTTGTATTGTTAATACTTGATTATTTCTTCTCAGTTTTATTGTTTGTCTATTGATTTTATGTTTCATCGTTGGAAATTTCAGTCCATTATACTGGAACGCTACTGGATGGTACTAAATTTGACTCGAGTCGCGATCAGGGGACGCCTTTCAAGTTCACACTTGGCCAAGGTTAGAAAGCTTCGCTTTACTGCAATTCTTGGTTCTTCAAAGCGGGTGTGTGCCTTTTTTTCTTCTTCCTGAGGTGAAAAACTAGTTTTGCGAACAAATTAGGTAGTTCCAGCCCGCAACGCGTGTTTGACTTTTGTCATGTTATCTTTGATGTGCTGATTATAGTCTTTTTGCTATTTAACTTCTAAATTTTAGCATAATTTAATTTCGAAGAAAATTAACTTGCGAAGTGCAAATGATGTTTAAGAAATGGAACTATATTTAGTGCTGGGCAATACATAAAATTTCCCCGTGTTTATGAGAATGAGAATTCAGAATAATGGATGTTTCCTACCTAGGCATACCAATTTTCAATATCATAAAGTTGAAACTTGTTACACTAGGAGTTAGCTGGATCTGGTAGTTTCTGTGGCCTGTGGGATTATTTATCTGTATTAGGGCATTGATTGGGTGGGAATAGATTTTGTGGTAGGTTTGTTTCAGTAGCGTATTGTATTGGTTGCAGTGGTTTTTGAACAAAAGAGAAACAGGTGAAGGTTTAGGAAGTAACTCGAATGAGGCGAGGAGTATTAGGAAAGTGCAGCGGAATTACTGTTTCTCTGTGACTGGTTGAAGTTCAATTTTATGGATGTGCATGGGCAAAAGTCTTGTTTGGATATTGGGCAATGGTAGAAATGTTGGATATTTTGAGTGCTTCTATCATTTGTGAAACACTTTTAGGTAACTTGAACATTGTATGAATGCGTTTTCAATAATTAATTTATCAAAAGCTGATATTAGTGATTGGCTGAGATATCATTATACGCTGAAGGGTGTATCATTATATATTCTTTTCATCCGAGTAGAAAGTGGGAACACATTGGAAGAAGATAATGGTTGGACTTACTATAGTTGTTGATCTTATAAAAGGAACTCGTGATTGTAGATTGCATGATTTTAAATTTCAAACTGATTTTGGTTGGGGCTTTTTGGGTTGTTGTAGAGAGAGACTTGTTAATTAATTGACCATGGTTCAATTGTAAAGAAGCTGGTGATTTTTTATGTGCATGTGTTTGTGGTCGGGTGCTCTTCGGATTTTGGTCTGGATTGAAATAAGGTTACAGAGTAATAAAGTGAAAGTTCAGCAGTTACTTTGCTTGTGTATGAGCTGTGGAGCTCTTCGGATTTTGGTCTGAATTGAAAATAAGGTTGCAGAGCAATAAAGTGAAAGTTCAGCAGTTACTTTGTTTGTGTATGAGCTGTGGAGTTACAATGCCTGTCGGCAATTCTTGTGTTCCTTTGCCTTCTATTGGATATATATGTAGAAGCTGTGTTGTTTTTGTGTCTTTTTTTGTAATTTATCTAGTAATTAATAATAATAGTGATAAAGTATATAATCTTTGCAGGACAAGTTATCAAGGGATGGGACCAGGGTATCATAACTATGAAGAAGGGTGAAAATGCCATTTTTACCATTCCTCCTGAGTTGGCATATGGCGAATCTGGTTCTCCTCCGACTATTCCTCCAAATGCCATTCTACAATTTGATGTTGAACTGCTTTCATGGGTCAGTGTTAAGGACATTTGCAAAGATGGTGGTATATTCAAAAAGATTCTTTCTGAAGGAGAGAAGTGGGAGAACCCTAAGGACATTGATGAAGTTTTTGGTATGGAAAAATTGCCATTAATTTAAGTGATTCTTGATTCAACAACTTTTTACTAATTGTTCTATATTTTATAATCCAGTCAAATATGAGGTTAAACTCGAAGATGGGACTTTAGTTGCAAAATCAGATGGAGTTTATTTCACCGTAGAAGAAGGTGAACTTGTGATATATTTAGTTGATTAACACTTCTGGTGTATATCTATATGTTCCTAAGTAGATACTATCTTCGCGTTCAGGTCATTTTTGTTCTGCTATTGCTGAGGCTGTGAAGACAATGAAAAAAGGTGAAAAGGTCCTCCTCACAGTCAAGCCACAATGTGAGTACCATATTTGCTAGTTGTCAAAATGACGTGAGTGAAAATAAAGTAACTAATACAGAAAATCCAAATTTCTTGCATATAAATTTTGCTCTATTGCAGATGGATTTGGTGAGAAAGGAAATCCAGCCTCTGGTGATGTTGGAGCTGTCCCACCAAATGCTACGCTGAATATTACTCTGGAGCTGGTCTCATGGATGACAGTTTCCAATGTCACCAATGACAAGAGAGTCATTAAGAAGATACTGAAAGAGGGGGAAGGATATGACCGACCGAATGAAGGATCTGTGGTGAAATGTAAGCATTTTAATATATCATAGTTTTATTTCTTCTGACAATTGACCATTTAGTCTGAAATTATCTTTCTATTTGTGCTTACCAGTGAAATTGATTGGGAAGCTTCAAGACGGTACTGTCTTCAGTAAGAAAGGTGATGCAGATAACGAAGATGATCTCTTTGAATTTATGACGGATGAAGGTACGAGAGAGTGAGATTTCGCTTGGCTTTCTTTGATTTCTATCTGCCTTTTTTGTGATCGTTGCTATTTTTGAACAGAGCAAGTAGTTGAGGGGTTGGACAGGGCTGTGATGTCTATGAAGAAAGGAGAGGTGGCGCTACTGATAATTGCTCCAGAGTTTGCATTTGGTTCATCCGAGTCGAAGCAAGAGTTGGCTGTGGTCCCACCGAACTCAACAGTGTTCTATAATGTTGAGCTTGTGTCGTTTGTTAAGGTCAGTACATTGTGTTGAACTATAATGTCCAATTCTCTTTCTTTAAGATCAAATTACATATATACTTTGGCATCTTCAGGAGAAGGAATATTGGGATATGAATACCCAAGAAAAGATTGAGGCTGCTGGCAAGAAAAAGGAAAAAGGGAATGCATTATTCAAGGCGTGCAAATATTTCAAAGCCTCGAAGACATATGAGAGGGTAAAGGAGCATTGGTTTGCGATATATAAATAAGGTTCTATACATTACATATCCATGTAATGCGCCTCATGCCAAGAATTTCTGATGCAGGCAGTCAAGTACGTAGAATATGAGACTAATTTTAGTGAAGAGGAAAAGAAACAGGCCAAAGTATTGAAGGTTTCTTGCAATCTGAACAATGCTGCTTGCAAGCTGAAACTGAATGACTATAAGCAGGCAGAAAAACTATGTACTAAGGTTTGCCTAGGTCTCAGTAGTCATTTCGTTGCATTTTCTGCATCACTAATGGGGATATTGTGTGGATGAAGGTGTTGGAAGTTCAGAGTACAAATGTGAAGGCGCTATATAGAAGAGCTCAAGCACACATAAACATGGATAATCTGGATCTTGCTGAATTTGATCTTAAGAAAGCTCTTGAAATTGACCCTGAAAACAGGTAACAGGAGGAGTCTAATTCAGTCCTGATATTAGGTAGAGGCCTTTTTTTTTTCCCTTCCCCTTAAAACTTCACAATTTCACGACTTGGTCGCTTTATGGAAGCAGGGATGTGAAGCTCGAGTACAGAGCTCTTAAAACCAAGGTGAAGGAGTACAATAGAAAAGAAGCCGAACTTTATGGTAACATGTTTTCCAAGTTAAATGTAAGTAGGAACCATTAGAGCGTTTATTGTTATAAAACATTTTGTGTTCTTGAAGAAAAATAGACCTCTTCTTATGTTGATTTGATAAATGACACTGCAGAAAACAGATCCAAAGAAGGCAGAACCCATGAGTGTTGACAGCAAGGGATAAACTCTCTACAGTGTTATCAGACTTTGGAATTTCGTTCTTGTTTATCTTTTATATAACTAGGTAATGAGAAAGGGGAAGGTTCTACTTGAGTATTCTTGTATGGTGACTATCACGAGGTTTTCTGTTTTCAAGTTTATTTTCATGTTGAGGAGTTTTATGTGTCTAACAATCATTCTGATGGAGATGGTCCAAGTAATTTAAGCAAAATTTGAATCGGTCTTTTTTGAATCCAAATTAAATGAAAAATAAAATAAAATAAAATAAAAAATTTGAAGGATTCGATGGTCCATATTTTATTAGAGTACATGATGTGATTTTTCAATCATTTGTTTGAAGACGTTCTGCGGTGTTGATTCTGCATGCCTACGGTCTTCCAAATTACTACTTTAGGCACAAGGAAAGAATAGACCGGATGAGCTGTTTCGTTAACCCCAACCCATCTCTCCAACTCAACAAGTCATCTATATTTTTGACATCTCTCAAGTTCTATTTTTGAAGGTTGTCATATGTGAATGGTTTGTAGGAGTAATTAAAATTTTAGTACAAATTTTGAACTAAGCAAGCAAACTTAGAAAGGAATTTTAAGAACAAAATAGAAGAACTTAGTTTGATTTTGATCTGGATGCAAGTGATGTTAATTTGATGTTTTGGATGTATTTTAATTAGGCATGTCAATGAGTTTGGTTGAATTTTGCTCGGCAAAAAAATTTGGGCTCAATCGGAGTGTCCGGTTCGGGATCCGAGTAGAGAAATTTCGTTTATTAACTCCTAGATGGCTGTCGATAGATACGAAGTAGCCTTCAATAGACAACTCTAATAATTGCCTGTTTAAAGTTGCCTTAACCGGCAGGGAATCTGATGCTTGTAACATGCGGCTGTTTAGCTTTCGATTAAAGCTGTTTTAAATGTACATGTGTACAATTCTAGCTTTCGATTAAAGTTGTTTTAAATGTGCACGTGTACAATTTTTTTTTTTTTTTTTTTTTTTTTTTTTTTTTTTAATTTGGAGTGTCCGGTTCGGGATCCGAGTAGAGAAATTTCGTTTATTAACTCCTAGATGGCTGTCGATAGATACGAAGTAGCCTTCAATAGACAACTCTAATAATTGCCTGTTTAAAGTTGCCTTAACCGGCAGGGAATCTGATGCTTGTAACATGCGGCTGTTTAGCTTTCGATTAAAGCTGTTTTAAATGTACATGTGTACAATTCTAGCTTTCGATTAAAGTTGTTTTAAATGTGCACGTGTACAATTTTTTTTTTTTTTTTTTTTTTTGTATTATTTATCAAGTTGGCCTGGGCCCCGTGGCTCGTCGGGCTCGAATCAATGCCCAAAAATGGGGCTTGGCTCGAGCCTCGGCTTGGTGCTTTCTAGCCACGGGCTAGGTGACTCGGGCTTTTTTCGGGTCAAGCCACGAGTCGTTCAAGCCATCGAGCCCAATTTACGTCCCTAATTTTTAATCATTAAAATTATATATATAGTACTCCTAATCATGCACGAAAATGTGCAAAAATCAAGCAAAAAAGATGTAGAACTTTTCGAAAAAGCACTAGACCTTCAGTAATTAGAATTTTACATTGGATAATCGCCTGGTTCAAAGCTGGGTGATTGCCCAATGCAAAAATATGCACAGGTATTCCAAATTGTCTACCCTCATGCTTGGGCGATGGCTCATCGTCATGCCGAGTCTATTTTTCGATCGCCTTCATTTTGCCTTCTCGTTTTGATTTTTCTTGGCTTTGTCATTGTTGATCAATCTCAAATTACTTGAAAATGAGTCATAGTTATTTGAAAAATATTTCAACATTTCTCCACTCGCTCAAATATAAAATGAGTTCAAGCTTAAAATTTAACTACATTTATTCATAGAGTATGGATAGCTTTTGATTTGAATCCAATCTGAGTACAAATTTCATAAAGTAATGCATGACATGCTAGGTAGCATAGAAGGTTTGAACCCACTATTTGTTCATGTTATTGATGAAATCACACACAAGTATCAAGTGTTCTGAGTTTCACACAATTTCGTTTAGTGCTTTTATGGCCTTGCATTTGTTCTATTCATAAACTTTTAAGAAAAACACTAACTTTTTATTGAAGCGACACTATCTCAAAGTTTATATAAGTAAATTCTTGTAGTTATCACTTTTAGATATATTTGATTCATTGATTTGAATTTTATTAAGCCCCCGTTTGGCCCTCCATTTTGTGAAAATGAAAATGGGTGGAATTGTTTTTTTTTTTTTTTTTTTTTTTTAGAATGAGTAGTTTGGAAAAAGAAGGAAAAGTTTTTGCGTAATATTATTTTATGGAAGATTATGTGATTGAAAATAGGGGAGAGAAAAATGAAATTTAATTTAATGGGAGCCAAACGGCTTCAATAATTGAATCTTCATCACGTGGAGTCTGGATATATTTACCTAGTCTGCGGTTGCTCTTGGCCTCAAGAAATTATGGAAGATTGTGTGATTAAAAATAGAAGAGAGAAAAATGAGATGTAATGAAATGAAAATTAATAGAGGCCAAATGAGGGTTAAGAGTTATAGAAACTTAACTCTCTTATTTGTCACAATCAACACTTGTAACCTAGGATAAGGTTTAAAAGAATAAATAAGTGTTGAATCTATCCATTTATCGAATGACTTATTGTTACTCTTTGAACTTGAATTATACTTGTTATTATGGGCAAGTAGGATTGCCAACGTCGCTGCACGGATTTTTCATTTAAAACATCTTCAGTAGCCACAGATAACACATCATCATCATCTTCATAGCCTCTCTATACAAGGTAAATGTGGTTCTTAAACTCTTCAGAAGTTCGACTTCTATTCAAATTTGGGTTCAGATGATGGTTTGATCCCTATTTCAAAACCTACTTCTCAACTTGGGTTGGGTGTTCTGGGGATTTTCACATAGATGCTGATGTTGATAGATGGTCGATTTTATCCTCAATATTTTGATCATAATAAACAAGATTAATATTGTTTCTAACAATTTATTTTAAGTGATGATAGTTCAATGTTAAAATCAATTAAGCATTATATATTGGACTTGAAATGAAGATCAAAGTGAAAGTTAAGTATTCAAGTCAAATCATTCTAGATGAGAGCTTAAAAGATAAATGTCAAGAAAGATCAAGAGCATGAGAGACGTGATAATGACGTAAATTGTTATGTTTTTCATCCATTAATACTTGCATTTTTACGACAAATTGATGCCTAAATGTACTCAGTATCTTTATAAAGGACCAAAATGGAAGAAAGTAAAAATTTAGGGACCAAATTGTAAATATTCAAAAAATTAACCCGAAGGCAAAACGAAGATGTGAAAGAACTGAAGACTAATTGGAAGAAGATATGAAGCATTGGAAGAAGGAAAAATGAGAAAATAAGTTAAACATTGAGAAAATGAAGTTTGAGGGCCAAAACCCAACAATTGTGGAGCATATAATGCCATGCAGTTGCATGGCATAGTCCTCAATGCAGTCGTATAGGAGAAAATTTCTTTCTACAATCGCATGGTTCACTTTTGTGGTGAATTTTCTGTTTCCTAACTTAAGTCAAATTCTTATGGAAACACATCTCTCTCATGATATTTAAATCCTAGAACGTCCCAGAACGTAGGAGACTCTATATCTATTTTTCTCTGATTTTGCGCAAGAATTTCATGTACAATTAAAGATCTTGGTGAAATTACGAAGGAACTCAATTGGATTTGGAGATTTCAACGCCCTTTTACTTATGTAATGTGACTTTCACTGTTGAACAATTCTAAAGTTTAGCTTTTATTTTTTTTTAGATTTTTTTTTTTCTTTTAGATTGACTTAACTTTTATTAAGTTTTTCGTGGATTCGATCATGCTTTTTCCATTGAGCGATTGAAATATTTGTTTGAGTTTAAGTTTCAATTATTTTTGTTGGTAGCCTTATACTTGATGTATTTAGTTACTTCTTATATCTTATTCCAATAAATAAACGTGGAAATGTGTTATAGGAAGACCTTAGAATTATTATCAGATTAAATTGGTGTTTAATGTTATATCTTTCGATTATAGAATTGGGATGAAAATCTCTAATTGAGTGAAAAGAGTGAGTGATTGATGCTGATTGATCCAATCCAAGTAAGGAAATTTCGATGCTTCACTAGTTTTTGCTTATCTTCTTAAATTATATAGAAGTTACATAAACAATATAAATTACTTTCAATGAAATATCCTCTTGACATGCCATCAACGAGTATTACCCCATCAGACATTGAATAATTAAATTATGATTAAATGACCATTTCGCCCTTGCAGTTCGTATTTTATTTGACAGTTTCTTAATCATATGATCACGGAACAAGTAGTCTGAATGTCTCCAAATATTCAGCTCAGATTTAAATCGCTCTTTAAAGAAAGTACTCAAGTGGATTCACTTGGCGAATAAGGTAACATATTTTTAACACTAACACTTGTTTATAGCTTCAATTTTTATCATCTCCTAACATACCAAAGTCAATACCGTAGTAATTAATCTCACTCATTGACATAATAAAAAACATCAGGTTCAATAATAGAACCACTAAACTGTAACTAATTTAGCAAATTCAAAGTACAAACAAGTGTGATTTGTTTCTTAGCACGATCTCTCTATAAATTAATCTATGAATTATTTGATCATGGCCAATACATCTCTAGGTGCATTTGTGCTATTACTTTCAAATGGACAATCATCACAGTCAAGACAAACTTTGACTCTTCAACCCAAATAGAGATCCAACCTATATCACACAGTCTAGAACAAATAATTGCCAATGGAAACATGAGTTATATCTTCTATACTTTTATATGCAAATACAAAACTCATATTATGACAATACGATCGAAAGTCCTTAATTGGTTACTCAATTATATCATGAACAGTTAATTGAAACATATAAAGCTATATTTATTAATAGATAAATCATAATATCATAAATTACAGTTATGTCTTAATACTATTGGGAAACTGTTAAGACTTGGGGTCCATCTTAATAAAGTCAACCTTATAAGTGGAGAACTCAAAATCTTTATAAATTGATATTTATTTAGGTATTAAACTGATGTGGGATAATACATCCCTTAACAGGCCCCCTCAACATGGTGGCTCATTTGAACAGACCAATTTTGAAATTCAAGGGGTGGCTCTGATACCACATTAAGACTTGCGGCTCATCTTAATAAGGTCAACCTTATTAAGTGG